GTCACACTTTGTTTACATGGGCACTTTCCTATGGAGCCAGTGGAGGCCAGCACCCATGTAAATAAAGAATGATAACGTCATCATTACAGAGATCTAAACTGTAGCTGGTCCTGTAACCTTGCCATTGTAAACCTCAAGAGACCTGTGATTTACTATAACTGCTTGAGATGAGGTATCATTCCAGGCATCCCCCCATTCACCTGTTCTCAGTAATCCACAACCCAGCCCAATTTTGGGTCTGTCTTGGCTGGTGTTCATTTCAGTTTACCCTATCCCCAGATTCATTTGTACAGATGAGTACATGTAAGTGGAGAGACCACGTGAAGGCTCTAATCTGTCTTTCATTATACAGTTTTTACATGTTACTGTAGCAAAAGTTGGTTTGAAGAAGATTCCCCTTGGTCAGAGAACCAAAAGATTGACAAAGCCAAAAGTGGAGAAATGTTGAACGTAGAGAAATGATCATTTGTCTGCACTGTTGCATACATGTTGTCCCTTTAATCTTCTTGTAAAGCAAAGGGCCCCAGAATAGGCACGGGTAGGCCATATGTTAGGATTTCTCTCTGAAAATAAGTTCATGTGTCTGGGGTCATTAGTTCATTGGAAGGCCCACTTTTGTTCAATCTCACTCTAGGGGCAGTGTTGGAATTGTTGGGGCTGAGTTTGCTGGTAGTCTTGTCCCTATGTGCAGTGAAGTAGTTCACGTGAAACATCCCTTGTGTCTCTGCCGACAGAAGGGAAGAGCATAGAACAGGTTCTCCATGGTCATTTTCAAACCTTGGTTTCACCTCCAACTCCAGCTTTATCTCTTGCTCAGAACTTCGGAAGCCATAATCTGCAAAGTAAAGGAAAATGCTCTAAACTTGGGCACCATGTTGTTAAAGAGTCCGACGGTCAAGGAGTAGAAGTTTCACAAAGCAGTCCTTAATAGGAAGCCTTAAATCTCCTTAAAATGAGATGAAGGAGGTTTAGAAATGATACATACATGTATTTAATCTCAAAAGTCCAGACAAAGTGTGTTATTTCTTTTCTTACATCTGACCTGTAGGGTTGGGAGGGGAATGTTTCACTCGTTTGTGAGTAAAAACAAAACCATGCTGGAGTGGCTGTCATGAACTGGACATACCCTTGTCTGTGTATTTTCAGAGTCACAGGTGTTTATTCATAACTGTTCATATTACTCATGGCAGAAGACTTGGTTCTTTTCCCGTGAACTTGAACCAACTACACGTACATGTTTGTACCGTGTTGTTTATTTGAATCAGATAGAAGCTGGGTTTACCTTTCTGCCGAACAGAGCCAAGTAAGAAGAGACTTTCTTGCCTTGGACTTTTTGGAGGTTATCCCACTTAAGCCCTGACTGGGACCCCCTTGGGAAAGCACTGCCAGTTTTTCCACTTTCACAGTGTGGGAAAAGCCCTCCAAACACATCCTACAAACCTGTAGACTTGTTTCAAGTCAAGACTTCTTTGCCACAGTGACTTCGGCTTGTTTGGACCCGAGCTTAGAGTCAGTCACAAGTAGTACGATGGTTGCTAGAAAGATACATGTGCAGCAGGAATAGGCTGGTCATCATTTGTTTGTTTATTCAAAATTGGCACTTTTTGTTGACTGACTTTTCTTGGCAGGGAATAATTTTTACTCAGCAAAAAAGCTCACCAGTTTATATTTTATAAATTCTTATATTATTTCTTGTGACCAACTTGAATGTTACTATTTTTTAAGGGATAAGCTCATGGATATTGTGCACAACCGTCTCTAGTGATCTGATGAAAGTCTAACTTAGGTACCGCTGCGGTTACTGAGACATCTGTGTATCGAGCAGGTATAGAGGTGGGCTGGATCAAGTCTATCCCTGGGAACAAGATCCTGACACTTTGTGGTCATTCACCACATGAATCACCCTCACTCTTGTACCAAAGGCAGACAGACAGTATGATCCCATTACTCAATGTCATCAATCAGTCAAGTTTACGGTCCGTAAATTGGGAGTTTCCCAAGTTCTCCTGCCCTCCGCAGACCGTGTCGGCTGGGTCTTAATTCTGGATCTTATTGATGACCCCTTTATCAAGTCCCAGGATCTAAGTTGTACTTGCGTACGTGCATGCCAGGATGTGAAGAGTCATCCTCAATGTATTCCATCCGTTTCAACTTGGGTTGCTTCCCACTGATTCAAACATTGCCAACATCCACACAATATTTCCTTTCTGTTGTTGAAAGCAGATGTTCTTAAGCTTGTGGGGGGCAGCTACAGGTACGACATTACCCGCTCAAAAATGCCTGCTCACTGTGAACTTAAATTCAAAGTGACTGGATTACAAGTGTTCCTACAAAGGAATGTGCTAACTTCTGAGATGCACCCTAAGAATGTTTACTTACGCTAAGCAACTTTGTGATATTGAACTCTGGGCAAGGCTGTAAATCAAGCAGTAGTTTTACCTCTTGCCGGACATCAAAGTTCGCCAACACAATGAAGATGTGGTACAGTATTTACCATCATTTACTGGCCAATTCAACTTACTCAAGAGGGGTTGTTTTTTGATAGCCTTTACTTGTTGAATGATTGTTTTATTACAAGAGAGGTGAACTTGTTGAAACGCTTAGATCAACATGGATTATTTGTACAGGTACCAGATGAGATTGCTTGGTTGGTGGGGATGATACAGTCAGACATCAGACTTAGCCATTGGTTAAATGTAAATTTAAGGTTGCTTTTTCATGGGACAGGAAAGATATTTTCAATGTTATTTTGGGAGTTTGAAATCTTTGAGTGTGCCTGAAATTTACACATGCCTTTCCTAAGTTCCAGTTTGTTCTATGTTATCCTGTGTGATTAGTCATGTCATTGTTCTAAACCAGAAATGATTGAAATGAACAAAAATGCTTTTAAAACTCCATTTTAATTGCTTTATATGAAGAGGAAAAAATTGAAAATTTGAGGGAAGGGGCAAAAAAGTAGCATTCTTTTGAAATGGCCTAAATTTAAAGGAGACCTTTTTATTCTCGGAGGCAAGATCAAGATTTTCAGGGTTATTCCATTACAAATTCTACACGAAGATGTGCCCCAGAGCTTCCATGACCGTGGCGGTTATACTTACTGGTTTTAGCATGCTAGAAAAATCCTCCAAGCATTTCAGTCAAGGGCATGGGTACATTCAACAGGAAAGCAGGAAGACGATTAGGGTCGGCAATCAAGGATCTTACATGGTTGGGAAGCCCGCGTCTGAACCAATTACATTGTGGATTCTCAATACAATTCATGTCATCCCAGCACATGGGGTGAGACATTACAGTATATGTGTATGGCCGTCTCTCGAGATTTGTCCAAACCACAGCGATGCCATGCGAACAGCCAAACACCTGCCTAAGCCTCTTAGTAAGAATTGGCCAATTCTTAAAGGGGTGGCAAAGCACCTAAAAATGAGCTACTAGCGCTTGTAAATAAGGAGATAAAATTTAAAACAATCTTACAATATATCAAGATAAATTCCAAATTCCTTGCCAAGTGCACAAGCTGTCCTGTGAATGCAAGTTCCCACTGCACTGTCCATAATTCTGAACAGCCCATCAGACTGGCAAGCCAGTGAAGTGAACAGTAGGGTGAGGGGATCAGATCCCTTGACAGGAGGAACATTCTTGACATTGATGGCAGATGGTCAGTAATTCATGTCATGAGGCCAGATGCTGACATTTAGAGTTTCCCAACAACTGTTCCATTAAACATGAAATCAATTCTTGAACCGTAACCAAACTGCTGCAGACATTGTCATATTACTTGTATACTGATTTCAGTCTTTTTAACCCACTAATCCCAAAAGCACTGAAAGTGGTCTGCTGAAGAGATTTGTACTCTTTCAAATGCCCAAATGCATGGGTTTTGTCCAAAGATAGCAGATAATGTGAACTTTGGCATTAGCTGAAAATACCATCACAATTTTTATAGCAAGTGTAATACTTAGTAACAACTTCCTGTTAGTCTTAATTTTGTACTTTGTAGGGATTATCCGAGATCTTCTGAAAGCAGAATTAACTGCTACATTCATTATCCAAGCTGCCTGCACCCCTAATGCCAAGGCCTATGGAGGTTGAATGGCACTGTCCAAAGAACCTGGGAAAGAGGATGTTACCTTTTAAGTAATTAACACCAGCAACTCCAAGAATTAATGACACACACTTGGGTATGCCGTATCGAGGATATCTCTCAAAAGGGCTTTATTATTAAAAGAATTAATCTGAAGATGGGGATTTTTTGGAGTGCATGTAGATTCCTAGGCTTTTAATCTTTAATAAATTGAAGCAAATCTACTAATCTATTTGCTGCAGCTTTTAGAAATGTCTGCAAGAATCATGACAATCTGGTTGGGACAACTGGAGTGGAACAAGGTTCTACTTTTGCCTATTGTGGACAAAGCAGAGTGTCCCTGACATCCATCAGTCAGTGAGGCCATGTCCAAATTGTGTCCATGGATGACCGTTGGAATGTGGCTGACCTACCACTTGCATTACACAGATGACTTTTTTTCTGACCTGGTGTTCAGAGTTTGACCTTAGTTGGACCAAGGTGATGGAGGTACTATACCTATACCCCCCTCAGTAGTCAGTCCATTTACAAGTTACTGCTGGACACATTTCAGATTCCCACATTTCTGATAAACTCAGTTAAACTGTCTCTTCAGCATTCAAGCTCATGCAGGATTTAGCAGTTTAGCCGGCAGGGTGCAGAACCTTGGGCAGTAGTGACGATAGCATCCACTATCCATTGCATTCTTGGTGGACTTTTTGTTCATTCTTTGTTTCCCAAAATAAAAAGTTGTCTTTGCTTTCAATGTGGTGTGGTCAACTTGTGAATAGGGCCAATTCATGTTTGAAATCCAAAGTTGTAATCATTCAAATTGTCATTTATGTAACACAGAGAAGATGTAAACTCTCCTTCTGTGATAAGATTTGTAACTTTGAAAAGCTGCATTTCTAAGTAACATCCCACCTCATTTCAATTGCAGCTTACACAACAAAACAGATCGGTGACAGTCCTGAAATCGAGAACATCCCCGTCACTGGCTGCTGCACCAGTAACGTACACAGTCAGACCGATACCGCAACATCATTTGTCAGTAAGTATTTGGGCTAGAGGATGGGGAGGGGTGGGGATAGGGGAGGGGGCATTGACTCGGGCTCGTGGAAGGGGGGGTTGGCGGAGGAAAATAAGGACTTGTTACTCTCTTCACTCAGTGAGACAGCAGTCATTAATGCTGTTTGTGTTTTCCTTCTTTAGATTGACCAAGTGTATAATTTTTGTGCGTGGAAAGATTTGCCAGTTATGGGCATTGGAATTGTGGGAACTCCTATGCTTGAAATGCCCTTTAAGTAACCATATGAAACCGCCATTTTTTCTTCTCGGGAACTTCAGCCAGAATAAGAAGAGGAGTTATGTATTTTCTGCCATTATATAAAACTTATTTTATTAATTAACCTATAGGCCAAGTTTAACCAAGCTGAGTTCTTGGGAAATACACAGATGTTTACTTTCATTTAAGATCTCCAATATTCAGTGAGTGTCACATGTGTCTCTCAAATATGCATAATGTCTTTGATTTAGGCCTTGTCTGTTGTGCATTTCTTGATACTGTGAAGCACTGTGAAGCTGATCATTCAAAGTGTCCACAAATGGTCCTCTTTAGACAGTGCCCCTTATCTGCCTTGAGCAGAAGCATCCCCTCATCAGGTGAAAAGAGCAATATTGGCTGGGAGTGTTCATTTTGTTGGTGGTGAAAGGATCATATCGTGTCCATTTCACAGTCATTCGTGAACCAGCCAAGTTCACGTCTGACCAAAGGAGCCTCCGTTGCTAAGAAAATTGCGCCCTCTCCTGGTCCAGCTTGAGGCTCACACCCTTAATAAAAGGAAGTAAAGTCCTGTCAGATCCTTACCTTGCAAGTTCACCTTGGGAGCTGCCAATAATATTAACTCAATCGCCCTGTCATCAACAGAGGGCAGCATATAGCTGCCACTGTAAAGGAGATCGCAATGTGTAATTTTGTTCACAGATATCAACACAGCTTGGTGTCCCTTTGTGCTGTTAATGTTACGGGGTTATACATGGGCACGAGGAAATATCAATGACCTTGGGGTGATTTGGCACTAGCCTTTTTGGAATAGTACATTCCTGCTGTTTTGTTTTTATAATTTACACTTTAAAAAGGTGATTTTTATTCGGTTTGTCAAATTGTATCTGGTGAGATATGAGCAAACATTATGCACTTGCCAAATCACCATCAGCAAATGTTTATTTTGTAATACCCTGGGAGATTTTTTATTATTTTTCACCGTTCATAGTTTGTGTTCGGGGTCAAACAACTTGGTAATAATAAATCAATGTTACATCAGAATTGACATTTCCAAGAAGGAAGTGTGGTACATGTACCTAGCATTTATCAGTCACTGCATTTTATACAAATGACATTTGGTTGGGTGGCTAACCCGAGACAGATCGTATGTGGTCACTTACAACAAAATGGACTTGAGGTTACGCCTATTGTGTGCATCGGTAGTGTGTGCTCATGGGAAAAAAAACAACTGATATCATCATTTTGTTCACCCATTATTACAGGTCATTCATCTGCATATTTATATGTGACATTTGGGCATGTTGGTACTTTTTCCCAGAACCTTTCAACAATCAAATTCATTTCTTTTTATCCCCCCTCCCCTCAAAAATTATCATGGCCTATTTTGAGTTTGTGGACAAATTCAGCTCAGTCTTCCAGTGTTCATTGCCCAAATCCAAGAGCATACTAACTATCCTTCTTGATGGTCCAAATTTGTTATTAATTAACCTGAACCCCCTAGGATGTATTTAAAATCATATTGAAATTGGAGGATTAGGGACTGTAAGGGACATGCCCAGCTGGTTTTCATTGTGCTGAGTGCTTATGCATGTTTTGCTATTATGGTTTGCTTGAAGTAGGTGCTAATCACCTGTCTAACAGGCGCATACTACATTGTGTAATTGATTGAACTGTGGAAACAGGTGGATACATTAGGGGGAGGGGAAACCTGTATTGAGTTACAACATGATTATAATGTGAAGAGGCAAACTGGCTGTCTGATGTAAAGTAACATTGACATCAATATCAATTGGTGTCATATAGAATTTTATCTTGTTAGAAATGAATTCCCTTTTACTTGAAATGGACTCCCTCTTCTGCTTTCTTATTGATCCATCGCAATAAACTGGTGTCAGCACCGATCATGAAATACTGTCCAGTACAAATTGGATGGGGGATGTGTCGAAACTCAACGTATGGAATTCCACGGGGTTGTCCAAAGGGTGTGACTAACTGGCAAACAGCAGATAGGTCAATTACATGTACATGTATATGGTCTGGTTGTCCTGTCTCTGAGAAGTGTTTGTGCAGTACTCTCAGCGGCCATTTCAGGATTCCACGTCACACTATAGAGGGATGGGTAGGAGGGCTGGATTTACAGTGAGGGTGCAAGTCTCAAGAATTTCGAAGTGTTACTATTAGTTTCTTTGTTTTCTACGTGTATATCTCCAGTGGAATTAGGGGAAGAGGAGACATATTGCTCCTTTGTCCCATTGACAGTGCTCAGCAGCGTAGCCAATGGTGGTTAAGCACTGTCGTTGTATTTTTTTAATTTTTAATTGCTTGTTGTATGAAGTGCAATATTTTGAGAGGAAGGAATGTTTGTGGGATGATGGGCCTCGAGCTAGACCAAGAGAGGGTGTTACTTCCTGAGCAAGGGAGGCCCGTTTAGTCGGAACTGAATTTCGCTGGTTCACTAACGACTGACCAGTGCTGCTCTTTTCAACTGATGAGGGGGATACATTTTTTGACAGTTTTAATTTGTAATGCAGCGTGCAGTGAATTTGGGGTTTAAAAGTTCTCATGTAGTTCTACATGTAGACCTACAAGTAGGTCTACGTGTATCTTTCAATTTTCCCCCCAAATAAACAAAAATCAGCTTTATGGTGTACATGTACAGTGTACATGCACTCCTCTTGCATGCATGTGTTGAGCACAAAATGAAACCGTAGGATAAGCATACATGTACCGGTACATGTATTTAAATTCTAAGAAAAGTAGTTTTGAAGTGATTGTAAACTGAAACCAGTTGTATGTATGAGACATTTGTATCGATGTCAGTGTGTTGGGCGTTTCCTTGAAGGGACTGAAAACATATCTGATTTTTCATGTAATTAGGTTGACAACAGTTTCTGCAGGTGGGTGACGTGATATTTTCTGATTAATATGGGATATTTTGGTGTGAGATATCGGTTTGCAAAATATAAGGATATGTATCCAAAATGAGGATGCTTATGTGCATCTTTCCAGAGGAACATGTAACTTTGAAAAAGAGTAAGTTAATGTCTGTTAGTTGTTAAAAAGTAGCATTCTTAGAAATGAATATGTTGTAGGTTGTGAACATGGAGGTAGACACCTGATGCCTGTTAGCTGGTCTGATCTTGTTTATTGAAAAATTGCATTGACTTTTCTAATGCAATGGAGGCTTAACCTCCATAAGGAAAAAATGGTTGAATCAGTGATGTATGTGTACATGTAGCCTATATATACAGACCTGCCAACCTGTCGTACTCCTTCCTGAGGTCAGGCATTACCACACAATAGATTCAAAGGTATTTAAATGAGCCCTCAGTTCATTTAAAATTCTAATCTATTATGTGGTGATGCCTGACCTCAGCAAGGAGTACGACAGGTTGGCAGATATGTACTGTATATACCAGTAATAATGAAAATCTCCATGCATGGACTACTGTTAGTACATCGCTGCCACAAAATAGGGCTTCAGCACTAGTAAATTATTTGCCTCCATGAGCCCCGAGCTGGACCAAGAGAGGGCGTAGTTTTCCTAGCAACAGAGGCTTCTTCGGTAGGAACTGCACCTCGCTAGTTCACGAACGACCATGAAATGCATGCGTTACACTTGCATTGTACCAAGAAAATGAACACTCCTGATCATTGTGGATCTTTTCACCCAATGAGGGGGTGCTTCTGGTCAAGGTGGATCGTAAGCACAACCTTTGTACAAAACTGTTAGATAGTGCTACGAAATACAGCTCTGATCTGAACTTAGATTCCGTCCACTTCAAATACCCCTATTTTCTGCTTCAGTTTTGCAGTTTGGAACGCTAACCCAGTCTTTGATCCTCAGCTGTCACTGTTATGAGACCTCTGCGACCCTCCACCTTGTTAGCAGGCTTTCACCTTCTGTCCAGTTGCTCTTAATTAAATAAGCATCCCTCAAGAAAAGAAAAATAAATCAAGGGTCCTACCCTCTCCCTCATTACAACTCTAGCAGCTTGAAAGGTTGTTAGCCGATGAAGATGATTGTACTCTGTAGCCTGTGCATGCCCACTGTGGTCAGAAAGGGGGCCAAGCCTTGTTACCCTTGGGGTTATTATGGGAGGAGGGGGGACTCTTCTTAGCTTAACCTCCCCCCCTGCCCAAAGTGGTATGGGGCTAGGGTGGACCCCTTGACCCTCAAATATGGGTGGGTTGTGGGGCAGTTGCTAGGGCCCTGTGGGTTGAAGGTCAGTGTGTTGGTGGTCATGACTTATAAGCAGGACAGAAGAGAGAAAACATTGGCAGTGGCCTTTTGAAGTTTGTATGACATCTCCATGGTTACGTTGATCACAGTAAATTACTCATTTTTAAATACAGGCTGGATTTCTGTTAGTTTTGTGCCATGTACATGTAGGTTTTGTGCATTACGAACTCACCTATGCGAAGTGGTTTGTGCAAAACCATCATACACATGTTCTCTTCGTAGTAAAATTTCATTGACTCAACTGTTGTCAGCAGTTAACCTATTTTACGCGGTTCTTAGAAAGTAAAGTTTGAAGGAACTTTTGTTCTTTTATTTTAGTTCCTTTTCGGTTGGGAATGTTAAAATTCCAACTCTGTGATATTCTTGTCAAATGAAACACATAAATTGATTGTGTCTATGGTCAATGACATGATAAAACCCAAACTCCATAATCTTTTCCCAAGAATATCCTGTTAATTGACAGACATCTTTGGCAGCACGCAGACACGTTTATCACTATATCCTGAGGACTGGCACCATTCTGCAATGCACTCATTAGGAGGAAGGTCTTCACCTACTCCTCCATACTCCTACTATCTTCGGGATGAATATCCAAACACAGTCTGTCTAGACATCTAAGGCAATTAGACTAGCTAGCCAGACATGCACTCAGTTTTTGTATTAGAAAGCACCTGCAGGACTTGAATCCACGGTAATGGAGTAATAATGCAGCAGGAATGATGAAATGGGACCCAACCGAACAAAATGAGTCCCACGTCGCCAGAGCCACTTTGGAGTTAATGGTTTTGAAAAATCTCTCACACATTGTAAACCAGTAGGCACCCTTAATATTTTCCCTCACATGCTGTTAAAATTACTCATTCAAATAAACCGAGTGAGATGTCAAACAGAAAGCCCAGTTTTTTTTTTTTCAAGTGCACTCTGAAATATGACGTAGAGGAGAAACAGTCAGTGGACCTTCTCTAGATACCATGAAATGCTTCCAATGACATTGTTTTGCATTGTGGCTCAGTTAATCCCCACTGTGGGGCCTCACCTCTTTTACTGATGGAAATCATGGAAAGTAAAATAATTCTATTGAGGTTTGAATAGTGAAAGTGGTTGTTAAAAAATGACAAACCATGGGTTGAAATTTCTGCTCTTAGAGGCTCATCGTAGGAACTTCAACAAGAAAAAAACAAATACAGAGAATGTACTGACTAATGCGTGTAAGTGTATTTGAGAAATGGATTTTAGAAGCTTTTGAAGTTTTATTCACCATTGAAGGATTCTTGGGACTGAAAAAAAGGCATTCTTTACCTTAAAAATGCCACAACACAACCTTCAAAAAATGACCAACTTCTATCATCTTTTTTTCACCTTTCTTTTCAAATCCAGCCTGTAGGGAATAAACCAGGTGTAAATTTGTAAAATTCTTTTTACTCCTGAGTCCTCTGGCATTGCTTAATTTTCCAGTAATTTTTCTATCCGTGTCCATTGCTTACCAGCAACAGCAGCAGAGAATACCTTACATAGCCAAGCGTGCCATGTCTCCGCAGACTCACCATCCCATTGTGTGGCAGAACCAAGCTGCCGTAGCAGCGGCTGCCGCGGCCTCCCAGGGCTGGACGCAGTTCTTCCCCCGCCCTGCCGTGGTGCCTCAGGGGGTGCCACAGTCTGTCTCACCTCATGGTGCTCCCAGGTATCAACCCCAGCCCGCGCCCCAGCCTTACCCAGCGTATACCTCCCACACTCCACCGACTGGGGTAAGTACAGGTTCTCCCTCAGACTTCCACTCATGTTTGTCAGTGAATTGCCAGTCAGAGGGTCCGATGCTTCCATCGTAGCAGAATCTGTTTTTGAAAGAAGCCTTTTAGAAGAATTCTGCCTCTATCAAATATCAGTTCCTGTTTATTCTTTGTATTTTTCTGGTCACCCTTGGTGGTACACAGTTTGATATTTGTTGGTTGTCTTGTTTGCTATAAATTTTACATAAATCCTGAATAAATAGAACTTAATGTTTGTGTCCATCCAATCAAATCGGTGCTCAGGGAATGAAAATAAAAACCTGATACGGAAATCCCTTGACAGTGAAATTTGTAGCTTTTATAATTTCAGGGCCATCATGGAACCCAGACTTCAAGAAATTAAATGAGTCCTTGTAGTTTCTTCTGTGGCATAGAATTGTTTGAGTGCACAGGAAAAGTGTAGATTGAAAAGTTCTGATCAAGCACCCATTTTAGGATGGAAGTTTGAATGGGAACAAAAAGTGCATTGCAAGCCCTTCTGAATGTTGAATGCATCTGGTTAATTCTAGTTATCAGCCCAATCTGTCAATCAAAACAGGTATTTCATAATTACTGTTGTAGCTCACTAATCAGAACTTGTCATTTTCCTTGCAATTTACCTCTTCTCGTTAATCTTACACAACTTTTCATCTCAATTCCCTCCCCCTTTCCCCATTACTTCAAAGCAGAACAGGGAACCCCCTTCGCTAAATCATACCTGATGCAATTTCCTGAATTTCCTTTGTACAGGTAGTTCCTTGCCTGCCCAGTGCCCACACGTCCTATGCATGCACTCATATCCCCCATCCCCCAAGGTGCTGGACGTGTCTTACCCCAACAGCTATCACGCACTACCTGGTACATGCAATTTTTTTTTTCTAATCAGAAACAAATGTATTTGGTAATGAGATCTCGTAAAAGATGCCCTGTGTTCAGCCTTGGGACAGGAGTGCCAAATTGACGTCTTTTTCCCTTCCTTCTGTTGCCCTGGCTCTGTGTGGATGGAGCTGGTCTATTTCTCGGTTTCAAGTCCTGTTTTTTTATCTTGTTTTGGATCTGCCGCAGTTTGATGATTTGGTTGACATATCTCTGACTTGACATCACCTTGGGGGTTACATGTACCGGGTATGTACGTCACTCTCAGACCAGACTGAAAATGAAAGGACCTGGATGGCCATTATTTTTTCATATCACACAGTCGGTTGATCTTGTTCAGAATCACAATCTTGGTGAAGTGATTTTTATTGGGTTGTTAAACTTCGGAGCATTTTTTAAAAATGCTGAGATTCATATGCATAATGATGTGTAATGGGCTTTCAGAATAAGAGTTTCTCCCAGTGAAATTAGACTGATGGAATTTTCTGTATCGTGTGGCAGTTGTAAAAACAACATGAAATCGTAGCTGACTGTCAACTTCTCTTGCATTTTGCTGCCTTTTTTTGCATTTCACTTTTCTTTGATTGGCTTGAAAGCCTTGATGCAGCAAACAGGCTTCAATAAATAGCAGAGGAGAATGCTGAGCTTAGAATCAGGCATAAATTGTTCATTGTTGAGTGGTAAATTGGCTTGAATTAGTGCTGATTGATTCATGTTTTACAGTGTACAAAAGACTGGGAAAGGAAAAAGTACATGTAGATGGATCACCAGTCTCTATTGTCTCATGACGGGAGAAGGATCCCTAATTGATTAATTGACTGCGCCCAATCCATCAGATTTATCTTGATTCATATCCTCATTTGATATCTCTTGAAAGATGTGGAGAAATGTTTTGCTGTGAGACACGTCAGACAACATGTATGAAATGTACACGTCAATGTCTTCAGTGTTCTTGTGTCAACAGCACACAGTCATAAGCATTTTTTTTTTTTTAATAGTGGACGTGGAGAGAGTGAAGGAGAAAAAAGGCTGAAGAAATGAACAGACTGTTTGTTTTTGAAAAGCCTGACCGTCAATGCCTGGGGTGTTTTTGAATGCATCTGCTGCACCCAGTACTCAACATGCATGAAGTGCAGGTTATTTTTATCCTGGGCACAATCTTGACCTGCCACGTTCTTGTCTGGCTCACTGACGAGATTCTAATCAGGTTCTGCTCTTACCCACCTCGAATTTCCCAGGAACTCAGTTGGAAAAGACAACTCCTTATTATATATGTATATGTGATGATTTTGGGGGGGCTGGAAATTTTCCAAGGTGTCTGAAAATGTTGATTTCTGATAACACACTGGAAGAGGTACACTTTGTCAAAATGAGTGTGCAAATGTACATTTTTTATAGACTCCATTTCCACTGTCATTGCATCAGTTTTCATCAAGCGCCTTCATCAAAGGTTTTCAGAAAATCAGGATAATTGTACTGTAAATATTTGGATACAATGGCAAATATACCTGGGACTTTTAGATTTTTTTAAGCGTTTTGAGTATTTTGTTTCTGAACTATCAGAAGTTGCGTGTAGTTTGCCCAGAAATGAAAATCAGTCCTCATGGTTCACCCACTGTGAAATACGTATAACTTTTTGGATGTCATATATTTGACAAATTAAAAGATTGCTAACCATTTTTGATGTTTGAAACTGCGTACAAAACTGAAGTTGCACGTCCACAAGGTTGCTTTGCGGACAGTTTCAGTGTAAAGCAAGCCTGCAGGTGGACGAATTGCTTTTAACTTTTGACCCGTCGTATCATTGAATGCACAGCACGTTTCTTGCGTTGCATGCGCAGTGCACCTACACTGGTACTCTAATAGGTTGGTTGATGCTGTGATGGTTTAGTAACCCTTGGGGTGTGGGGGAGGGGGCAGTAGAGATAACTGTCTTGCTTGTGCCGCTGCTCTTGTTAACATGACATGTCATAGAGGTTTAAGAAGTTAGGTTTCCCCCTTTTTTTTGCTGAAGCATATCTGTCTTGGCAGTTCTGGGAAATTGGCTTTTTTGGAAGAAGGGAAATTTAGTCAGAGAGGGTCAAGAATCTTCATATGACTTGAGTGTTTGCAGGTGTAGTGATCATTTGGAGCTTTGTTCAACAGTCAACATTTTCATTTTTACAAACTGTTTTGTTTCCAGTCCTCTTCATTTAGCATGCCTACATTTTATCCACATTGTTGGAGTGGATTTTTTATTGCCCAGTGCATGTAGAAATGCCATATACGAATATTTCATGACTTCTGGGTGAATTATTTGTGTAAACATCTGACACTGAAATGAAATTCCCAGGAGGTGTCTGAAACAGCTGCATTTCCAGCCTTGTGTTCTAGGCAAGCGGTGAAGTTTTATTTTCACTGTAACCAAACCCCATGCATTTCAAGACCTGTGATTTTGACAAATTTTGAAATCGTCACCGGCAACATTATTTGTTCTGGGTCCTGAAACCATGGATTCCTTACGAAAGAAAAGTGTGTCAAATAAACGTGTATCATTAATGCAGTTTAAAGACTGTCAAGACAGTGGAGAGATGTCAAGGTGGCGTGATAAAGAGATTTAGGAAAAACATTTCAGATATGTGAAATTTCCTAAAAAACTGAAATTACAGATACATCATGGTACCCAGTTTCTGATGTGCAATTTGTTCAGTGGGGTGGAAAGTAAGAAATTTGTAGTCTTAAGACCAATCTTGTTCACACATTAAATTTCAAAATCATATTGATTTCTGCTTCCATTCTTCCATAATATTTTGTAATTTTCAGGCAAAAAAAATCACATTTCTGTGGACACCAGGGCGTGTTTGTATAATTACATAATTTCAAACATACATGTGGTGTGAAATTCAAGTACTGTGTCTTACTGAGGAACTGAGACAGCATAACAATGTACATGTACATGTACCAGCAAGAGTACGATGCATAAATGTAGAATGAAAGTGAGTGATTGAAAGTAGGCTTTTGTGCTGGTTATCATTTCATTTCCCATTGTCTTTGTGTTGTCTGGAATGCATTGGATACCAGCAGTGTTTCCTGTGCACTTCCCACTCGTGGTTCAAGGGATTGGATGCTGCAAGGCTTCATTTTTCTTTCCTGTTTCCAAAATCAGATAATCATCTGTCAGTTACAGTGCGGTGTTAAGTTTGCCGGCTGGCCACTTCCTTGTGTTCACCCCTCTGCCAAAAACGAAGGGAGGATTTAGCGGTTCTTCGTAGAACTTACTGTTGGCTGTCGTGTTGAACATTTGCAGTCGCTGTAGTTGGAAGAAAATTCTTCAAGCATTAACCAGGTGGTTGGATTCTTGCAAAGTCTGTTTTCTCATAGATACATGTAGTATTCACTGACTTGTGGCTGGAAATAAGACTACACCTGTGTTAATCATCTGGTGGACGTTTGTATTCAGTATTTGAGTGAAAGATACCAGAGTAAGAAGTGGCCTGTTGAAGTACAGTAATTTGACTACCATTTTGAAAAGCTGAATATGGAGACTAATAAGAAGCAGTCACAGCCGCAACCTCCTAAGCACATGAAAACCCCTGGAAATACCGGTAACCGCTCAGACAGGGGACCGGCAGGAGCCTACATGAATGGCAGCAATCCTCACCAGCAGTACCGTCGAGACGAAGGATACCACCATGATTTTGGTTACCATCGGGATATGGGGTACCACTCGAACTCATATCGCACAGAGAACTTCTATCGGAACAACTTCTATCGGGACTCGTACCGAGAACCAAAGTGGATGCACTTCCAGAGAGCTCGTTTCAATCAGCCCCACCAGGTAGAATGCATGCTTTGCAGTGATTTAATACATGTCAATTCCAGTTCTGGAATTTTCTCTGGCAGTGAAAGGGGCTTACATTGTCATCCCACCAAGGCAAATCATGATTGTAACGTTTCACTTCAAAAACAAATGCTGATCCAGCATATCCTTTTTAATATGTAACAGTTTCAGTCAATGAGCGGTGTAATTATGTATGTATCATCACATGTTTTACCTGCACAAGTGGGCTTCCAGCAAAATGCAATCTGGATACAAGACCAGCATTTAGGGTCGTCATTGAAAA